TTTTTTTTCTGTATCAACTTTTTTATTATCTTCATCTATAACTTCTTCTTCTTTTTTTGTTTCATCAGTTTTACCACGTAAAAAACTTGGTAAAGATGGTAAATAACTTTTAAGATTTTTACCTTGAAATGGTACATATAACCAAGCTTTGATATGTATTGACCAAATCTTTTTCTCTGAATCATACATAGCTAAAGTTGGAAATGGTACAATAAGTACTTGATCAGCATACAGATGATCTGATGACCATTGTGCAACATAATGTTTAGCCGATATGATTGCAGTAGCATATTTTTTTAGATAAGAAGTCATTTTGTATACTAAATGAACTTTGGCTTTGGTAGAATAAACAGATTGTATGATTGGAAGAGGAAGAAGTAATTCTTTTTCTTTCTCTTTATATTTATTCCTTCGATTAACAGCCAACAGAGAACATTATAAGAATAGAAAAGAAAATAGAGGGACGAAGTAGAGTCTTTTTTTATTTATTTATTTCGGTCTTTAGCAATTTCATCAAGTCTTTCACGCATTTGAGCACATGTTATTACTTTTCCAAAACCATGAGCTATTGTGTCTAATGTCGGTTTATAGGGTGGTCCCGTACCATCCGATAAAAAGATAATATCATAGTTTTGAACAAATGCTGAACGTGCTGTTGTTTCACAACAGAATTGAGTTAAAACACCAGATATAATTACTGTATCAACATTTTCTTTATCTAATAAAGATTTCAATCGTGTTTTATAGAATGTATCATACGTCGTTTTTTCATCAAGTATAACTTCATCCGGTGCTACATCAAGATTAGGTAAAAGTTGTGCATCGAATGAACCTTTCTTTATAGATCCTGACGCACCCCACCATTTAACTATAACAGATGTTTTGACTTCATTCTCAGGATCAGGATGACCATGTTGTGAAAATATGACTGGTACGCCAGCGCGACGTGCACTTGCTATAGTAGCATTTACGTTTTTAAGAATTGGATTTGCCGCACGTGTAA